TGTCGTTTTTACATTTCTGTCTGCATTTCTGCCTCATTTTGTGAATGAGGAAGGGGGTGTGTCTTAGAGGGATTAATGCAACAGCAGGTGTTTATTTTCAGCCCCACCCCCTAATCGCCATCATTGGAAACTAGAAGCTCAGACCTTTCTTTTCCTAGGAAAGGTCGGAGGTAATTGTGCAACCATTTCAGGTGCTGTAACCGGTATGCGTTACATAAGCTTCCTCAGTTATTCTTATTTTCTATTCAGTTCCAAATCAGCATATTTGTCTGACCAGATATTATTTTATGAGTGGAAAAAAAATAACGTTTGCCCTAAAACCTTTGTGGAACAAACATGCTTCAACTTATTCAGTCCAAATTTGCCTGAGTTATAGTCAAGATGTGGATCTATAAAGTCTGGAGTTTCTGTTTTCATGTGTTCATGGTGTTTTGCAGAGTTTATTTTGTAGAAGAAAAATTGGCACGGCTAAATACTCATCTTTTTTTTCCTGTGTTTAATCACCTATAACTCAGACTTGGTGGCATTTAAAATAGTGGTTCCACCTGAAAAATATTCCGCAATGCCTTTCTGTCTAGTTTGGGAGCTGTACTTGTTTTAATTCACATAACTAATTTCAGGTGGAATTTGCTCCTAAGACCCTCAGGGCTAAAAGATTCAACATAAGGCGAAGGTGTAACTCAGAGAGAAAAGGTTAGAGAACCACTACTTTAGCCTAACTAGTGTCTAAACTTCCCTTATATATCCGTTAAGGAGGTCCATTGGAGGTTTGGTTAATTTTTATTTTGGTTTGACCTCGTTTATTGGCCTGCCTATCTAAGTTTAGGGTTTGTTAATCATTTCACATATTTAATCTGTCCTTTATGCTTTACTGGTTTGTTCCTGATGCCAATAAAGGCATGGCTCAGTCCCAGCCTGCTTCTAGCTCCTGATCTACACCGTTCAAATAAGCTCCAACAGACCTGGATAAAATGGCTGAATTCTCTCAGCAGCATTCAGGATCTAAGCTTCGCAGACGATCAGGCTGCAGGATAGTAGCTTTTTTTATTCATAAAGGCGTGAGCAGCTTGATGCTGAAACCTGCGGCGCATTAATAGTCCAGAGGCAACAGGTAATTAACAATTTAAAAAGCTCTAAAACTTAGGGGCCGTGTGCAATTTTCAGCTTTTTAACTAGTGTAAAAACAGACAAAAACGTTCTGTTTGATCAAACATTAAATGAACAGTTAAATAAAATGAACAGTAAAATGTGCAACAATATGAGCTAAAAGGTCATAATTTGGAAAAGTTTACCCCCCCATAAACAAAATGGTCCCTACACTTAGAAAATGATTGAAACACTGAAGTTGTTTATATTCCAGCAGATTATTAATCAAATTATCAAAAAATAATCAATATATTGATCGATTTGGAAAGTAATCATTAGTTGCAGCCATAATTATTAGTTTATATTCCAACTTCCTTTCATTTTGTTATAATTTTTTCTAATTTTGATTATTAATTTCTACTCTATTTGCTCATGTTCATTGAGTTTTAGATTATCTTAATGCATTGTACTTTTCTTGCTGCGTTTCCAGTTTAGTTTTTTCTTTAAAAAAATCACTTTTAATTGGCTTGTAACTGAAATTTGAATATAAATAAAGTTGCCCTGCTTAAGAAAAAGAAAGAAATATAAGATGTGAAGAATTGTGCCTTTTTTTTTGCACATTGGTTCAGCTTGTGTGACAGAAACTCACGGTGGAGACGAGAGCAACCTGCCAGTCCTCCAGACGCCACTCGCACCGAATCTCTGGAGAAACCACAGCTAACAGCATGATCTCCATCGCCTCCACGATCTGCACACAAACAGCGTCAGTGATGTCACACCGTCACTGCAGAGCAGCTGCTGTGACGCAGATCTGGACTCACATTGGCACTGCCCATGATGACAAACAGCAGGACGTGAAAGCGTCCGAAGCCGATGGTCTCCACAGCCTGCTCCACTGTGAACTTCTCATCTGCTGGAGCAGAACAGTCAACATTCTGAGGGTCAGATCAAACTTCAGGAGGATTTTTATGAAATGCACCTTTAAAGCTCGAGATGACAATGTTCTAAATGGTGTATGTGTGTAATTATCAGACAGCATGGGATTAATTTCCACTGTTATGCTGATGATACCCAGCTATATCTGTCTA